ACCTAAAAATTTTCCAGGCTGTAAATTTGTCTAAAATTCTTCCAATTTATAAATGAGAATATAACTCATTCCAACCTGAATACTTCAATCTACTACTAAAATATTAAATAAACAAATGGAATCACATAACATTCATTATAAGAGCAATTTCTGTCTTGAACGAAACTTTGTTCTAACGACACTTAAAGCCATCACTACAACAGTCCAAATTAAAATGAAAACATACGAAAGCCTACAAAGATAAAAACTCCAAATGCCGTCTATCAAATTTTAATCTTCTAAATTTCAGTCTTTCTTAAAAGTTCCCTATTTTTTCCTAAGATAGAAAAAGAGTAAAAATGAGTAAGTAGCATCGGCGCCAGGTATCGACGACCTCGCGTCAGACGACGACCTTCGCCCTGAGAACCGGTCTAAGCGTCGGGATGCGTCGCAGCGTCGCTTCGTTGACCCGACCGTGGCAGAGAACAGTATCGATCGAATCGATTCGCGATAGAAAATCGCGAGGGACCGAGTGCGGCCTCGTTTGTCGCACGCATCTTACACGCATCGAGCGTTTACATAACGTCGGCGAGACACGCGCTCGAGACGAACAGGAAACGAGCTCGATGACTCACGACCGACTCTTCAACGTTACGAAAATGATTTACATTCGCGTTAATTCGATCACGATTGCCATTGGTTGTATTACGATGCTTCATTGGATAGAGCATCGATGCTTCTCTTTGGATAGAGAGGTTCTGTAGAGATGGATATTTCAGTTCATGTAGAGATGGCACCTGTTTCAGTGATTTCATAGAGAGGACATTTCTGAGGTAAAATGTAGATCAAGGATCAAACTTAGGTCAAAATATCATACGTTTAGATTGAAAATGATCTTTGATGGATAGCTTTCAAAAATGACTTCTGAGTGCAATAAAGGGTTGATAAGGGTTCATCTCAAACTTTTTAAACGAAGAGTGAGCCACTATCGAAGATTGCAAACGTAATTTAAGGTTTGCATTTATTCAAATCTCCAGATTTATTTAAACCACTTCGAAGTTTGCTATATAGTGGAATCTACTGTGAAATCCACCCTTGAAGTCGATCTAAAGCCAAAGCTAGTTTAAATACTTTTTAAGGATCTGAAATGTTTGTTAAATAAAAAAGAATAACAATCTTCCATTTTCATGATCATTGTCGTAAGCATTCATCATTTAAAAATGTTCTGTTAATAAAATTGTTTAAAAAAATGGCTGCTGCCATACTAGAACTATTTTCAAACATGGCTGCTCTCTTAGACTTGTTTTAAAAAATGGCTGCTCCCTGACTAGAATTATATTCAAACATGTCTGCTCCTTTTATAGAATTGTTTTCAAAAATGTCTGTTCTCGTACAAGAATTATGTTCAAACATGGCAGCTCCCCTAATAAAATTATTTTTAAAAATGGCTGCTCCCTTAAAAAAATTATTTTCAAACACAGCTGCTCCCTTAATAAAACTATTATCAAAAAATGGCTGCTCCCATACTAGAATTATGTTAAAAAATGGCCGACATAACAGACTTGTTTTAAAAATGGCTACCTAATAAAAGCAAAAATGGTCACAACATTTACTGCAAACTATTTTATACATCAAACACCTGTCGATGATTTGAATACCCGTCGAAAAGCTTTTTGAAGCGTTCAAGTTTAAGCTGTTATGACGTCAATACGGTCAAATTGGAATTAGTTAAGGTCTGTTAGAAATTCCAGGCGGATTTCCGTCGCGTAAACGAGCTCCACGAAAGTCGCATATTTCGGATTGTCCATTATGTTGAACACGTGCAAGACGATTCGTTTATGCTTGTTAGCATCCTAAATTAGAAAAACAAATTACTGGTGATAAAAGCTTGTAATTTAACCTTGCTGACATCACCGTGTTTGTAAAAAGAAACTCATAAATTGAAATTTTAATATGAACGTTTAATTTTATAACATTAATTCGATACCTAATGTATTAATTATGTACTACATTATTATCTGTATTATGTACTATGAAAGAAAAAGGCAGATTTGTTTTGCTCTGTCAAAGAATGGAATTATCGTTCCAGTGTAAATGCAACATACGTAATAAGAGAACGTATACGCAGTATTTGCATTGACCTAATGAAATGCAGTGTCGTTTCAATATTTCCGATTTAGAAGCAATGCAACTGGAAGAACGTAGAACCTTTTATTCCCTCGCAGTAGAAAAATGTTTAATAGTCTAGAGCTCGAAATAGGCGAACGATGATTTATTAGCGAAAAATCGTTGATATTCGCGTGAAATATCGCGTCGATTACGAAGGAGGCCAGAAAGATCATCTACGAGCTAATCAACATGTCCTAATATCTCGATCGCGGTCAAACATCAAGGTCCTTTTCGCGTTTATCAAGCTGCCACCGGGCTACACTTCCGGTTGACGTTGAATCGTGCTTCGACCGCTTTTTAAACATCGTTCTACTCGAATAAAAAAATTAACTCTACAGGTGTCTTGGTATGTCGAACTGATTGTCGAAAGCGAAAAACATTTTATCATAGCATAGTGATTACGTAAATATTTGAGAAACACGTTTTGGTATTTCGAAGCTAAAAATACAGAATGTAAATATAGTCGACGATGATTGAAAATACAAACTTCCATTTTTGAAATTAACCATTAATTTTTGTGAACCTGTCAGGCCTGTCAAATTAACGAAACCATTTTCCGCATTTTCAAAAATGAAATTCATATTTCAAAATTGGACATTTTAATTTTTAAACGGAGAGGTTAAAATGTGCAGAAGATATAGAAATATCAAAACAATTTTAAGAAATAAAAATAGAGAGTATTTAATTTAAAGGCTACTCGTTTAAATTTGTAAAATTCATAAAATTAAACGAAGACGAAAATGAAGTTTCAAATTAAATTTGACCTGTCATTACGTCTGACAGTCCACTGTCTAAGGATTAATAGTTAGACAAATAATCGAAATGCAAGAAAAAATGGAATTAGTAACTGCTGAAAATTTGAAGAGTTTGATCGCAATGTCAGAATGCGAACATCCATGAAATGCAACACGAGTAAAACTACCACATCCAAAATGATATCCAACGAATTATATCCTAACAAAATTTTCAATTTCAAACTACGTAAAAAAATCCTCCGTTCACTCCGCGAACAAATCTCACAGAAGACGTGTTAGCACGTAGCCCACTAAGAAATTCGATCAACACAATCTCCGGAGAGCGTGCGAAGCCTCGAACTTTAGCAACTCCGACAAGATCCATCCTCGTCAAGATCCATCGAAGAGCGTGCAGAGGAAAGCCAAAATCCGTAAAGCGTTGAGAGACCGGACCCTAACCATCCGCAAAGTCATCGGTCGAAGGAGCGCTCGTCGCGTTACAGGTCCGATTCGATACTTGAAAATCCGTCGGTGGTTCCTTTTGCTCCTGGTGAGAGACGTGGGTCGTGTAGAGAGGAATCGGGCAACACACGACACGACACGGCACGACACGACACGAGAGGAGATCGGCAGAGGAAGAAGGAAAAGCTACGTCAAGGGAAACAGAGTGGACTGTAACGGACAGAGCGCGGGTCACCGGTGGACGAAGGGCGAGGCGGAGGAACGCGTGACACAGAGGTGGAGGATAGAAGAGAAGAGTAAAAGAGGGGCCCCTGTGCCGATGGCGGG